TCTCACAGTTTGTGGGTTCGAGCCTGGAGTCAAGCTCTATGCTGACAGCTCAGATCCTGGAGCCTGCTTCAGATTCTGTGTCTCCCTCTCTCTCTGCCCCTCCCTTGTTCATGCTCTGTCTCTCTCTCTCAAAAATAAATAAACATTATAAAAATAAAAAATAAAATGCCCATTACCTAAATCAATCTACTATCAAATTTAATGCCATCCCTACTAAAATACAAACAGCATTTTTCATAGAACTAGAACAAGTAATCCTAAAATTGGTAAGGAACCACAAAAGACCCAAAGTAGCCAAACACAAGTTTGCATTCCTATCAAGAGTGCAAGTGTGCAAGTTTCTCCACACTCTCACCTACAACGTTTCTTTCTTCTCTTGTTGATTTTAGCCATTCTTACAGGTATAATGTGGTATCTCATTGTAGTTTTGATATGCACTTCGCTGATGATCATTGATGTTGAACATTTTATTTAAGTTTATTTATTTTGAGGGGGGCGGGGCAGAGGGAGAGGAGAGCGAGAATCCCAAGCAGGCTCTGCACTGCCAGTGAGTAGCCTGACGTGGGGCTCAATCCCATGAACTGCTGAAATCAAGAGCTAGACCACCTACGATCAGCTAGAAATAAAGAAGGGTATGGGGCTCATAGCAACCAGCACATGGATCTTGGTGGACTGTGTATCTGATGGCAGTGGTACCTGATCAGAGCATAGCCAGCAGTTTTGCCCATCTGTGGAGTGAGGACATTGGCCTTCTCTGGCCAGGAAGCACATCAGCAGTTCTACCTAGATTTGGTCCCCAGCCAGCATTCCAGTCTAGCCATAGAGCCCATCTTATGGCCCTACCCAGGCAGAGTGGCAAGCCAGCAACCCTATCCAACTGCAGAGCATAGCCTTTGAGCTTGCCCAACCAGGAAGCCCCTTCAGTGACCCTGTAAAGTCTTGGAAAGCACCCTATTTACCTTCTTGGCTGTGGAGCCCAGCATACAGTCCTGATTAATGGCTGAGCGCAGCTTGCAGCCTTGCCCAGGCAGGGAGCCCATTCAGCAGCAACTGTTCAGCCTTAGAGCACAGCCAGTGGTCTGCCCAATCACAAATCCTTGTCTGCTTCCTTGTCTAAAATGGGAGTACAAGCGGCAGTACCACCCAATAAGGGAACACAGCCAGTGACGCTACTTGACTGGAGATACTTGCAGAGTTTAGCCATGATCCCACCTGGCCATGGAGATCAGCTAGAAGTAAAACTGTTACTATTTGAATATGACATGATAATATATATGGAAAATATATGTATGTATATATCATAAATATTCCACACAAAAAACTGTTAGAACTAATAAATGGATTCAGTAAAGTTGCAGGATACAAAATTAATATACAGAAGTCTTTTGCATTTCTATACACTAATAACAAACTACCAGAGAAATCAAGACAACAATCCCATTTACAATTGGATCAAATAGAATAAAATACCTAGGTATAAATTTAACCAAGGAGGGAAAATATCTGTACACTGCAAACTATAAGACATTGATGAAAGAAATTGAAGAAGATATAAATAAATGCTCATGAAGTAGAAGAATTAATACTATTAAAGTGCCCATTCTACCCAATGCAATCTACATATTGAGTGCAACCCTTATCAGCATTCCAAGGACATTTTTCAAAGAACTAGAACAATAATTCTAAAATTTGTATGGAACTCAAAACTCCCTGAATAGCTAAAACAATCTTGAGGAAGAAGAACAAAGCTGAAGTATCACAATCCTAGATTTCAAACTATACTACAAAGCTATAGTTATCAAAACAGTATGGTACTGGCACAAAAATAGACAAACAGATCAATGAAATAGAATAGAGGGCCCAGAACTAAACTCACACATATGTGATCAATTGATTTACAACAAAGGAGGCAAGAATATACAACAGGGAAAAACAGTCTCTTCAATAAATAGTGTTGGGAAAACTGGACAGCTACATGCAAAAAAAAAAAAAAAAACTGAACCACTCTCTTATACCATATACAAAAATCAAGTCAAAATGAATTAAGGACTTGAAAGTAAGTCCTGAAACCACAAAACTTTTGGAATAAAATATAGTTGGTAAGCTCCTTGACATCAGTCTTAGTGACATCTGTGAGGGGGAGGGTGTGACTCCAAAGGCAAGAGAAACAAAAGCAAAATTAAACAAATGTGACTACATCAAACTAAAAAGTTTTTGTGCAGCGAAGGAAACCATTAGCAAAATGAAGAGGCAACCTACTGAAAGGGAGAAGATATTTGCAAATCATATATCTGCTAAGGGGTTAATATCAAAAATGTATAAGGAACTCATACAACTCAATAGCAAAAAAAATCTGAATAAAAATGGGCAAATGATCTGAACAGACATTTATCCAGGAAGACATACAGATTGCCCAACAGATGCATGAAAAGATGCTCAACATCACTAATTATTAGGGAAATGCAAATCAAAGCCATAATGAGATACCACCTCATACTTTTCAGAATGGCTATTATCAAAAAGATAAGAAATAGCAAGTGTTGGCAAGGTTGTGGAGAAGAGGGAACCCTCATACACTTTTAATGGAAATGTAAATTGTTGTAGCCACTATGGAAAACAGTATGATAGTTCCACAAAAACAATAAATATAGAAGTACCATATGATCCAGCAATTCCACTCCTGGGTATCAGGTATCTATCCGAAGGAAATGAAAATACTAATTTGAAAAGGTGTATGCACCCCTATGTTTATTGCATTATTATTTATAATAGCCAAGATATGGAAATAACCTAAGTGTCCATCAATAGATGAGTGGGTAAAGAAGATATGGTATATATGTACAACAAAATACTGCTCAGCCGTAAAAAAGAATGTATCTTGCCATTTGCAACATGGGTAGAACTTGAGTGTATTATGCTAAGTGACATAAGTCAGACAGAAAAAGACAAATACCACATGATTTCACTTACATGTGGAATCTAAAAAACAAAATTCAGGGTCATAGATATGCAGAACAGATTGGAGATTGCCAGAGGTGACAGGGGTTGGGAGGATGTAAAATGGGTGAAGGACATTAAGGTACAAACTTCTAGGTATTAAATAAATAAGTCCTGGGAATGTAATGTACAGCATGGGGAGTATAGTCAATAATATTATATTATCTGTGTAAAGTAACAGATTATAACTAGACTTACTATCGTGACCATATTGCAATGTAGACAAATGTCAAGTCACTGTATTGTACACGTAAAACTAATAAAATATTGTGTGTCAGTTAAACCTCAGTAAAAAAAATACACACATTTGTAATCTCTGGGATTCAGGAACAGGCAGATCTTACTGTAATTCTCTTTTATAAGTAAAGGAGAGTAAACATTATAAAGAACACCTATATGTTTGACGCTAATATATAAGCATGTGTGCATGTATTTGTACTCAAGAAAGTAATTTTCTTTTCTATATATATAAAAAAAGGAGCTAATGCCAAGATTTGAATGGATAGTCTTTGTGACTTTGAATGGTCTTTGTGTGTCAAGAATGTTAATAAGAGTAGTCACAGAGAGGAAGACAGTAATTTAGACACTAAGAAACCTTAATGAAAAAGGAAGTAAGTGAAAGGAGAGTAGTTGATTGCAATAAGGATATGAGTGGATGATACAACCTGAGGGCTTGTGTTCCCATCTTACAAAGATGAAATATATACCTATACTTCCATATACAGATGGATTCTTTCATTATTAGAAACAGAAGTGTGCTTTAGATCCGTGCTACAAATATTTCTAGATACAGATTTACTTGTCCCATCCAGTTTTACCTGTTGTTTTGGACCTATAAAGAAGTTGCTCGATGTCTTATTTTAAATGTATGAGTGAATTTTAAATTGCTATTCACAAGATGCAAAGATTAATTTCACTTGAATAGAGGGGCGCCTGAGTGGCTCAGTCATTTAAACCTCCAACTCTTGGGGTGCCTGGGTGGCGCAGTCGGTTAATCGTCCGACTTCAGCCAGGTCACGATCTCGCGGTCCGTGAGTTTGAGCCCCGCGTCGGGCTCTGGGCTGATGGCTCAGAGCCTGGAGCCTGTTTCCGATTCTGTGTCTCCCTCTCTCTCTGCCCCTCCCCCGTTCATGTTCTGTCTCTCTCTGTCCCAAAAATAAAAAATAAACGTTGAAAAAAAATAATAAACCTCCAACTCTTGATTTCAATTCAGGTCACAATCTCATGATTCTTGAGTTCGAGCCCCACATTGGCCTCTGCAAGTTATTGTAGAGCCTGCTTGGGATTCTCTCTCTCCTTCTCTCTCTGTCCCTCCCTGGCTTGCACACTGTCTCTCTCAAAATAAATACACATTCAAAAAATTTTTCACTTGAATAGATATGTGAGGATATTTGACTCTGCGGTGTAGTTTTGCACACACAGATCTGTGCACACTAGATTTGCCATGAACTTGAAGCTCCCTACTATTCTGCATCCATGTCACATGATATGGAAACATTCTTTCATGGTGAATTTTTATGAACATGTTGAAAATTTTTAAATATATTCATTTGGAAGGTATGATAAAAAACAGCATTACTAAAGTTTTACCTATAATTTTGATGAATGTTTTAAATTGTTTTTCTAACATTTATTTATTTTTTGAGAGACAGAGAGAGCACAAGCAGGGGAGGGTCAGAAAGAGAGAGGGAGACACAGAATCTGAAGCAGGCCCCAGGCTCTGAGCTGTCAGCACAGAGCCCAATGTGGGGCTCAAACTCATGAACTGCAAGATCATGACCTGAGCTGAAGTTGGACACTTTAACTGACTGAGCCACCCAGGCACCCCTTTATGAACAGTTTTCAATCTAGTCTGGGGACTTGATGCAATCCTGACAAGTGAGATAACAACTTTAGTGTAAATGAAGCTAACATTATTTTGGCTGTGAATTTTAAGTTTTGCTTAACAAAATAATTGTCGTAATTATTTCCTTACAGTTTTAATATAAATGAAACTATACAAGTCTCTTTTACTTGGCACATTTATTTTGAAATTCCTTTCATATTGTAGTTGACATAACTAGGTTATTTTGTTAAGTAATTCTTTTATAGTTTTATTTTTACAAATGATATAATGATCTAATATTCGCCATGCTATAAAAATGTAAGAAGAGTATATATGAATATTGATTTCATAGTTAAAAAAATATTGATGAACCCAAGCAGAAGGTCATTGAGGAATCTTTATAGACATTAGGTGTTAAATTGACAGATGTGGAATCAAAATTGCACATGCACAGTGGAATACTCATCATGAATTCTAGTTGATGTTAGAATGAAAGAGAAATCACAAAGTAAGCAGTAAGTAGAAAAATGTTTAAACATCTTCATATGGATCTTCTTCTACATTTGAGTACATTTTCATTACTCGTTCTATAGGAGTCTTAACAGAATCATAGCTCCATCCCTTCCTGGTAAACAACTTCTCAAGGAAGCCTGGCATCCTGTAGCCCTTGAGTTGAATGAAATCTTTAAAGGCAATTGTTCCATAAAGATCTTCAATAATATCCTTTTCAGGAACTTTCTTTTCAAAACTACCATCTTGACCTTCAAGTAAGACCTTGGGGTCAATCAAAGGTTCATCATTTATTAGCTTTTCCCACAACTTGGGCTTCAGGCACCATGCTCCATACCTCATTTTCACCCAATTGGGTTTATAAGGATTCTCTGGTGGCTGGAGTTTCTTCTCCCAATCTTTATCCTGTAAGGAGAATCTTATGGCCTCCGTCTCATCTAGCCCCTTCCTGTTCTTTAGATCCATAGGAACCTGGTTTACTTTCTTCAGGCAGACCAGTTTACGGGTTAGTTTGCACTCATAGCCAAGGTCAGATGGTTTCATGATGAACTCTTCAATGCCCAAGTCTTCTAAAGTAGCAACCCATTTGCAGAATTTACAAACATCTCTTGGTACTTTTCTTTGAAGAGGAGGAATTTTGAGCAAATCATCTGTGCTTGATTTCTTTTCTTCAGGAGGCACTTTGTCTGGATGTGACCCACGAGTCTTCTTGGGAAGTTCAACTTTGGCAGGACATTTCTCACAACGCTTTGTGGGAGACTTCCTTCTTTTCTCAGTGTTCTTACAAGAAGCCCAAGTGGTCTCCAGCTTCCTGTCAGGATCCAGCACTTCCAGCACCTTTAGTAAAAGGTCTGCAGGTAGATCTTTCTCCAAATCTGGGTAGAGAGCCAAGGGATGCTCAGTCAGTTGGGCCTCAATGTCCTCTAAGAATGCCTTCCGTGCTAGCTGGGCTGGTGAGAGAGTAGAAAACAGGTCTGCTTCATTGGTCAGCTTTTTATGACTCTTTGTTGGGGCAGGTTGGGGAACTCTGTGAGTAATCCCAGGGAGAAAGCCCTCCTTAGGTCTGCGAGTGATCAGACCTTTACAAGGTGGACACCCCCTTCTGAAGTCATCCAGCCCCTCTTTCACAAATATCCACCTCCGGCTGTCCAGGGAGGTGGGGAACTTCAGAAGCTGCTTCTTGTGATTTGCAAAACACTTGGAAGGTAATTTGTCCTTGTACCAGGGCTTGCAGTTCATGCCCAGGGGCATTGGTTCCAGTGGCCCTGGGGCTAACAACCACTTCTTGTTCTCCATGGTACCTCTAGCCCCCAGGCGACTGCCAGCTTTAGTGGTTTGTTTTCCAGTTGCTAGGAGACTTCGTAGCCAGGCGCCCCCAGATTCTTCCCAGAGGGGGGTCCACGCAGTTGCCTCCTGGCAACCAGCTTTCTCCTGGGATGGGTGCCGAAACTTCATTCCTTTTTGTTGAAGGGTACTATTCCGTTACGTGGGCGTACTCCACACTTTAATAATCCATTCGCCTTTTAATGGGCCTGTGGGTTAATTCCAATTTGAGGGTATTACAAATAAAGCTGCTGCAAATATTTGTGTTCATATCTTTGTACATCATTTCATTTCTCCTGGGTAAACTTTAGCAGAGAGGAATAGCAGAAGCATATGATGGGTGTTTGTTTAACATTTTAGGAAACCACCTAACTTTCCCCAAGGGGATGTTTAATATTCCTTCCAATAGTGTATGAGAATTGCTCTTCGTCCACATGGTGCCCAATACTTGGTATGATTAGCCATGTTAATTTTGGCTATTCTGATAGGTGTATAGTGGTATCTCACTGTGCTTTTAATTTGCATTTCCCTAATGACTATCTGTTCATGTGCCTAGTTGCCATTTATCTCTCCTGTGGTGAAGTGTCTGTTCAAATTTTTTACACATTTTTAAATTGTATTGCTATATATCATTGAGTTATGAGTTCTTTGTGCATTCTGAATGTAAGTCCTTTATCAAATATATGATTTGTAAATTTTTCTCTCAATTTTTTCTCTATACCTATGGCATACATTTTCATTGTCTTAACTGTTTTTCAAAGAGCAGAGTTTTGACATTTGATGAGGTCCAATGTATCAGTTTATTTTTTTATGGATTGTTCTTTTTGTATTGTATCCAAGAAAACTTTCCCTATGCAAAGGTCATAAAGGTGGTTTTCATTCTGCTAAGTTTTATAATCTTAGGTTTTACATTTAGATCTGTCCTCTACTTAAATTTAGGTTTTTTAGGTGATGCAAAATATGGATCCAAGTTTTTATTTTTTTATTTTTATTTTTTGCCTGTGGATATCCCATAGTTCCAGAATTTTTTTAAGAATCTTTTTTTTTTTTAAAGTTTATTTATTTGGGGGGAGACAGAGAGAGAGAGTGCACACACATTGGCCTGAACAGGTTAGGGACCTGCAGGTTAGAGAGAAAGAGACAAAATTCCAAACAAGCTCCATGCCATTAGTGCAGAGCCTGATGTGGGGCTCAAACCCACAAACTGTGAGACCATGACCTGAGCTGAGAGCAAGAGTTGGATGCTTAAGTGACTGAGCCACCAGAATTTTTTTTTTTTTTTTTTTGAAAGAGAAGCTTTTCTCCACTGAATTACGTTTGTAATTTGGTAGGTGTAAGTTGTTCATATTGCTGTGAGTTCATTTCTGGACACTTTGCTGCTTCACTGCTTTCTCTGTATACCAATTCCACACTGTGCTGATTACCTTGTATTTTATAAGTCTAAAAATAAGACTGTATTCGTCCTTCAAGTTCGTTCTTCTTATGCGAAGTTGTTTTGACTATTCTAGGTCTTTTGAATTTCTATAGGAATTTTAGAATCAGTTTGTCAGTGTCTATAAAAAAACCTGTTGGGATTTTGATTAGAATTTGGTGGAATCAATAAATCAATTTTGATATCTAATATTGAGTTTCCTGACCCATGAAAAAAGTCCATCTCTCCATTTACATGTATTCTTTCATTTATCTTAGCAATATTTTGTACTTGTCAGTGCATAGTTCTTTCACATCTTTTTTCTCTAAGTTTTCCTTAATATTTTATGTTTTTTGATACTACTGTAACTAGTATTATAATTTTTAGTCACCATGTTCATTATTACTATATACAAAAATAATTTATTTTTGTGTATTGATCTTGTATCATGCAACTTTTGTAAAGTGACATCAATTCTAGTAGCTTTTTTTAAAGTTTATTTTTTTGTTTTGAGAGAGAGAGAGAATATGCAGGAAGAGCAGAGAAAGAGGGAAAGAGAGATAAGCCTAAGCAGGCTCTGCACTAACAGTGCAGAACTCATGAACCATGAGATCATGACCTGAGCCAAAACCAAGAGTCAGATGCTTAACCCCACAGAGCCACTTGGGCACCCCATCTAGTAGCTTTTTTCTTTTTCTTTTTTGTAAAGTCCATTGAATTTTCTACATTGAGAATCATGTCATCTCTTAATAAAGATAGTTTCACTTCTTCCTTTCCAGTCAGAAAAAACTTTTTCCTGGCCTTATTGCACTGGCTAGAACCTACTTATATTGATTATTCATTTTTGAGAGACAGAGAGAGAGAGACAGATATGAGTGGAGGAGGGGCAGAGAGAGAGGGAGAACAGAATCTGAAACAGGCTCCAGACTCTGAGATGTCAGCACAGAGCCCAACCTGGGTCTTGAACTCACAGACCGTGAGATCATGACTTGATCCAAAGTTGGGCACTTTACCAACTGAGCCACCCAGGTGCCCCAATTTTTATATTATTTCTGATCTTAGGGGGAAAGCCATTAAATGTGATGCTAGCTTTAGGTTTTTTGTACGTATTGTTTTCCAGTTTAAGTTCCTTTTTATTCCTAGAGGTCTGAGGCCTAGTGACAAATGCTTTGTTTCAGATATGTGGATTGTGTCAAATGTTTTTTCTGCACCCATTGAGATGTTCATACAGCTTTTACTTTCTAAAGTAAAGTTTGCTAAAATAATAAATAACAGGGGCGCCTGGGTGGCTCAGTCTGTTGGGCGTCCGACTTCGGCTCAGGTCATGATCTCACAGTTCGTGAGTTCAAGCCCCGCTTCGGGCTCTGTGCTGACAGCTCAGAGCTTGGAGACTGTTTCGGATTCTGTGTCTCCCTCTCTCTCTGACCTTCCCCCATTCATGCTCTGTCTCTGTCTCAAAAATGAGTAAATGTTAGAAAAAAATTAAAGAAATAAATAAATAACAGTGATTTCCGTGTGGCTTGAAATTTTCTTTGTGGGAAGATTTTTTTCTTAATTGCAAATTCAGCTTCTCTAATAGCTATAGGGATATTTAGGTTATCTGATTTTTCTTGAAGGAGTTTTAGTTTGTATATTTCAAGCAATATGTTTGTTTTATTTATATTGTCAAAATTATTGTCATAAAGTATCCATACTATTTCCTTATTGTCTTTTAGTATCTGTGGAATCTATGGTAATGTCACCTCTTCCATTGTTGATTTTTGTAGTTTGTATCTTCTTTTTTCCTTTCCTTCCTAATCAGACTGGGTACAGAATAAGACAATTTATTGACCTTCTTAAATAAAGTTTTTAATTTCATTGACTTTTCCCATTATTTTTTGTTTTCTTTTTGATTGGTTTCTTCTCCCGACTTTGGTCTGTTGTTTTGTCACCCTTAATGGTCTGTTCATGGCAATCTACAATGCTTTTTCCAGCATGAACCTCAAAACTCTTCCAGCGTCTACTCATTACCCAATTCCAAAGCTACTTCCATACTTTTAGGTATTTGTTACAGCAGCAACTTACTTCTTGGTACCAATGTCTTAGTCCTTTCAGGTTGCTGTAACAGAACATACTGCACTGGGTGGCTTATACACAACAGAAATCTATTTCTCACAGTTCTCGAAGCTGGGAAGTCCAAGTTCAGGATACAGGCAGATTAAGTATCTGGTAAGAATCAACTTCCTGGTTCATAGACACCCATCTTTCCTGTGTCCTCACGTGGCATAAAGACTTAAGAATCTCTCTAAAGCCTCTTTTATAAGGACATTAATCCCATTCATGAGTGCCCCACCCTCAAGACTTAATCACCTCCCAAAGGTCTTATGCCCAAATACCATTATATTGGAGATTAAGTTTCCACATATAAGTTTGGGTGAGACATAGTTAACCTGCAGCGTGTGGACATTCATTAAATTTTATATATTTTATAACCTCCACACTACTTTTTGAATTACTTTGGCTTAAAGACTATATCACTCTTAAATAGATTTTAACATAAAAATATTTACCAGGGCTCCTGGGTGGCTCAGTTGGTTAAGCGTCTGACTCTTGGTTTTGGCTCAGGTCATGGTCTCGTAGTTAGGGAGATCAAGCCCTACATCATACTCTGCACTAGAGGCATGGAGCCCACTTGGGATTCTCTCTCTCCCCGGCCCCTCTCTCCCTGTCCCTCCCTCACTCTCACTTGCTCTCTGTCTCTTTATCTCTCAAAATAAATAAACATTTTAAAAGTATTTACCCATGTAATGGTCAGCTTCATTGTTCTTTACTCCTTGCTTTAGATCAATATATCTATTGTATCATTTTCCTTCAGGGAAAACAAAAATATAGTGTACCATATGTCTGCTGGTGAAGAAATTGTTCTTTTCTTATGTGCTTGAATTTTTTCTTATTTTGCCTTGTTTTTTTTTTAAGATTTTTTTAATGTTTACTTATTTATTTGGGGGGAGGGGCAAATAAATGTTTATTTATTTGGGGGGAGGGGCTCAGCATGGAGCCCAACATAGGGCTCCCATCTCACAACCATGAGATCACCTGAGCCAAGAGTATCAAGAGTTGGATACTTACTCAACTGACCCACCCAGGTGCCCCATTTCAGAGATATTTTTAAAGATGTATTTTCTGTGTATAGAATTCTGGGATGATAGGTTTTTTCTTTCAGTACTTAAAAAAAAGACAGCTCCATTGTTTTCTCATTTGCATTGTTTTGGACAACAGGTATAAAGTCACTCTGATTTTGGTTTGTACATAATGTGTCTTTTTCCCGCCTCTGGCTACTTTCAAGATGTTTTCTTTATCATTGTTTTTGAGCAAATTGATTATTATGTGCCATGATATCATTTTTTTGTATTTCTTGTGGTTGTGACTTGTTGAACATCCTGAATTTGTGTGTTTATAGTTTCCATCAAATTTGCAGGGAAATTGCCCTAATTTCTCCAGATGTGTTTTCTGCCTTGCTTTTTTCTTCTCTGTAGATTCCAATATTCCAC